ATCATCATCATCATCATCATCATCATCATCATCATCATCATCATCATGCAATAAGGCAGACTGAAACTCAAATATTTATTCACAGGATAGTCTTTCTCCCTTCACCCATTTCATCCCCTCTCATGCGTCTTCCCCAAACCTGGAACTTCAAAATTGGGTGAGTGAAGATGATGATATCTTCCCATCAGATCATTTTGCAGGTCCGATGTGTGACCTCTGGTGTACATCCAATACTCAGAAACTTGGGTTAGGCTTACAGTTACCATGGGTGCCATGAATTCTCCCATCCCATCTGGGGCAAGTCAAAATTTCCTCAAAATTAAAAGATACATCTGCCACCCTGGGTGATAGAATTTAGCAGCTCAGGAAGGAATGCCATTGAATAAAAGGGAGTCCAGTATGGCAGGAAGAAGCCCAACTGTTACCTAGAGCTCATCTTTAGCCAGAAATTCTCTTATCCAGTTGTTTCAATCTCACAGCCTCTGAAAACCATTGTTCCTATAAATGAAAAGGGCCTCCTCATCCCACTGCCTTGGGCTTGTAGCTTGTGTGAAACCTAAAACCCAAATAGGCATATCTCCAAGAAGTGAAGCCTCTCATTCAGACCCACCCCGGCCTCCGTTTTACATGTCAGGCTAGTTGCCTTATCCATAATTAAATTATGGTCTTATTACATAACATTTTGGCATTCAGTAACAGCCCAGGATCATAAAGAATCTGAAGGCATGACTTCAGGGAGCCTGAGAACTAGAGGCCAGGAAAAGTCTTGACTCTGGCTCCCAGCCTCCACCTGAGTGGCCAGTCCTTAGCTTCCCACCATTAGATATTATAAATCACCCAGAAATACTTTGGATAGTGAGATGGACAGCATATAAATTCAATAAATCTCTTTCTTCCTATATCATAATGAAACTGCCTATCCTCTCTTTTCCTTTTGTCCTCCACTCTCAGTATTCCACTTCTAGGCCATAGAACACATTTGGTTATCTCATTCTCTCCTTGTACTGTACTGTATTGTGTTGTGTTATGTTGTATCCTTCTCTTTTCCCCCACAACGGTCCTGTGAGGTAAGTTGGATTGAGAGAGAGTGACTGGACCAAAGTCACCCAGCTGACTTTCATGGCTAAAGAGGGACTAGAATTTATGGCCTCCTGGTTTCTAGGCCAGCACCTTCACCACTATGACCAAACTGGCTCCTTTCCCCTCTCCTTTGGAGGTTTTAAACATGTGTTGCATCTACCGTTATGGAATTGTCAGTGATTTGCAAAGCTTGAAATAAAGTCCATAATCCTCAACTGCATTATATTCCCGGCTGCATGTTTATCTTTCCTTAAAACTTCTGAATGAGACTAATTAGCCATAAATAGCACTGCTACAACACAATTTCCCAACTGTAGTTTTTAATATAACAATTTAAAATAAATTATTTTAGATGTGTATAAAATACATTGGGTATTTGATTCATGCAATTAAGTATGGAAATGGGCCTCTTAAATTTGTATTTAAGACCCTTAATAAAGTTCCCTATCAAAAGTTTTTCAGTAAAGTTAGCATTTGTGGTGTAAGAAGAGCTGTCCTTTTATAAATTACTAAATTACTAAAACAAAGGGGTAATAAAAAACAAAAAGCAGGAAATAGAGATGTTCAATATTCTATATTGGAACTGGTCTTTTTAATATGTTCATTGATTGTTTTAATTTAGGAATAAGCTGGCCAAGTCTGCAGATAATAGCAAACTATTCAGGATGATGAAAACCAAAAATGATTGTGAAGCGCTTAAGAAAGATATCTTTAAACTAGCTTATGGTCAGGCAACTTGCAAAACTGATTTAATTTAAACAAATGGAAGATGATGGAAAATGCATACTTAATTTATGGACTTTTTTATTGAAATACATGATGGCAGCAACTGGCTTTTTGATTGATTATGTGTCATTGGGAGCTGCATAGTGGCCTAGAGGGGAAGGAACTCATCTCCCACTTGGAAGGTTCCTAGTTTAATCCTAGGCAGTGACAGATGTCTCTCTATCAGTGCACAGAGAGAAAATATCTACTGCGAACTCTGCATAGGTGTCAAGAAGCACATCTGGCCAGTAAATTCAGTTGCTCCAATGCCACCCTGACAAGAGGGATTACAGGGTCATAAAAAGAAAAAAAGTGCCCTCAGGTTGTTTTCAGCTTTTCATGAAATAATAATAATAATAATAATAATAATAATAATAATAATAATAATAATAATAATAATAAT